ACAAATCAAATTGACATATAGTTTATTTAACCCATTAATTTGCAAGGCACCCTCTTGTACTGACCCCTACCATGGCACACACTCACTTAGGTAAATAATATTTAATAACAATCAGGTTTATAATATTTAATAAAAAATATATATTTAACAAATATGAAACATTTTCTGTGTTGATATACAGTTATATCAACACAAGTGGAATTGGGAAAACGAGAAATTGTATGGAAACACGACGCCCGAAGTGTTTTCATACAATTTCGAGTTTTCCCAACTTCCACGAGTGTTGATATAACTATGTATCAATACGGAAAAATGTTTTATATTTTTTTTATAATATAGCCCGAAGCATAAGAAAAATTTCTGTGTTTACAAGCGGCGGAAAATTTCCCGTGTTGACATTGAGTTATATCAACACGGCTCTTAGCCAATCAGCGTTCAGAATTTACAAATGCTATATTATAAATATATATACAAAATTTCAATTACACTGAGACTCTTGTATTAATAATAAAATTGTTTGTTGTTCAATCATTCCTATTTGATTTTTTTTCTCCTCCGGTTCAGTCAATCGTCCCACCTGCAAACAGGCATGATGCTAAATTCGGGTAACTCTTGTGAGTAGAGTCATCTGGTATTACAGTCATTGCAACGATGTGTGTATTGTACCAATTAATTTGATAACACGAAGCCCAATGCACTGTACTTTTTATTGCATTAGCCATTAGGTGGCAGCACTTGCCACTTGACCAGTAAAAACAATCTGGCATTAGACAGAGTAAAATACTAAAGTGGGATGCATCAGGGTAAAGTCCATAATGTAAACAAATGCTTTGTTTACATTTTGAACTCAGTGCTACAGTTGTATATATATATTTATATATTATACTGAATTTTTAACACTCTCCTGCTTCGCTATGCTTGTAATAAAAAATATTAATAATATATTTTAATGGTCAGGTGCCGACCATTAGAATATAGGCATGTGCAAAACAGACTTTACATGGTCTTTAACCCATTGAGCATTTTTTTACTTGTCTGACGCCAGACAATTTTACTTATCAATGGGGAAGCTATATACAATGCCTACCCATTGGCCTGCAGTGCACCCCAATGTGCTCCACTTATTTTTTTACTTGTCTAACACCAGATGGTTTTATTTATCAATGGGGAAGCTCTGCAACTTTTAAAAAGGGTTAAGTGGCAATGTGCCCAGATGCACCCTTATTATTTTACTCTGTCTAATGCCAGATGCTTTTATTCTTCAGGGGGATAGTGTTGCCACTTATGGGCTGTTTATATAGAGGTGAGGTACCCGACAAGGCGACTTACACACACAGGAGGAACAAACACGCCCTGTGTTTATATGGAATCAAGTTACTAGGCATTTGCTGCATGATTTGGCCATATGATGCCACCAAAACACAATAAGGATTTAAGTCGTTTGAAACGTTACCGATTCGTATGTAATTTTGAGCTATTATATTGTATGTAATTTTGAGCTATTATACATTCTATCTCGGGTGGCTGAGTTACCCGGGCAAAGTGTTTACATGGTAAAAGAAAGGAGCCACCATTATAGTCAGGAATGTCGACTAATTAGACTTGTTTTGTTTGCCATGCAAACCATGCTGCTATGAGACTGAAACGTTAAATCGTTTCAATTTTTAAATGTGTCTGAGATTATCTCCGACTCTACCCAATAAGTTGGGAATCAATATTCTGGCTGTATATCTGATTTACATATATGATGCTAAAAATGAGTACTTTTCCAAATTTTTCCAGATGATCAAACACTTTTAAGCTGTAAGACAGATGATTAGGAAGAACATATACTGTTTTAGTGAAGTTTGTATGTACAGATATTTCAGAATTTCTATTTATTAACCTTGAAGGTCAATTAAACCCCATAATTTAGCATTTGTGACCAGAAATGCTAATCTTGTTCAGATAAATACCTCACCTGAACATTAAATCTTGTAAATTTAACAAAAAGGAATAACACCTTGCTCTACAACCAAAAATTATCACTGAAAACTCACCAATACCTAATAAAAAATATTTTTACAACTTACTGTCAGGTAGCTAGTCCCATATATGTTTGGAGCATGGGCTGAGGATATGACTGTGCTAAAAGTACCCTTTTCCAATTTTTTTTGCTGTCAAACTTGACGTCCTTTCCATCACAACACCTGATCTAATTTGTGGAAAAAATATGGGGAAGTTTGTACGACTCACTTCAGATTTTTTTATCACCACACACAAAAAGAAGTTTGTTATATATTTTGGAATTTGGGTTCTTCTCACAGATCCTGTATTGCATCAATATACTTGCAAATAACAGGGATCAGGGATTTGCTACATTTTTAACACTTAATACAACCTGTATGAGAAAGTAGCACAAAACGTTTGGCAGGAGAATATATTATTTGGGAAAATTTCAACCTAAAGCAACGGTATAGGGTTCGGTACAAGATCTCTTTTCAACCAAATGCACACAACCATATTGATCCCAAAATTATGGCAGTAGATTTTCATTATTTTCATTAATTACTTTAAGGTTACAGAACACCTTTGAGTGTTAATTTTGCCTAAAATTTTTTTATTGGTTTTCATGAAAGCATTAGACTAGTTCTACCATCTGACCAAGTTTGAACGAAAAATGTTGAAAACTCACAGAGTTATTTATAAAATACATTTCGCTGCAATGAGAAAAACATTGAATATGTAATATTCAAATTCAATTTTCTACCGAAAAATTTTATGGTAATTACTGATTTTCAAACGAGTTGTGCTCCTGCGGGTTTTAACCAATTTTTCTGAAATTTTCACAGGACATAGCTAAAGACGTCAGTTTCAAAATTGTGTCCGGCTTTTTTTTAATTTTGGATATTTCAATAAAGAACAATTCACTCAAACAATTCAGAAATATATTGCAGTCGTCAAAGAAATTGCCATATCAGCGGAATGACGAAATAAACAAAAATTTCCAAACACGATTTTTTAGGACAACTATTTTGCTGTATTAAAATGATACTTTCATAAATATAACTTAAAACCAGCAGGAGCACAACTCAAAAGCGTAACGGTACCGCGATTTAAATTTTCCTGATTAATTCTTACATTATTTTATTGTTTGTTAATTTTACAACTTTACCATATTTTGTATGCACTGGCGAACATTTGGTGAAAATTTGATGAAAATCGGACTGATATTGAGCGCGCAGTAGCGATTTTCTGCAAAACGCCAAAAAGGGTGTCGTGTAACATTAAAACAACAAAACACACAATACGAGCGAGTAACCTACATATTAAAACTCAACTGACTATAGAAATGGAGACTATAAAGGCAAGCATTGTGTCGAAAGACCATGAATTTTGGAGAAAATTAAACTGTAATAAAACTAATACCCTTATCTGCGTAGAATTAACATGAATTCTCAGAGATCGAACAAAAATTCAGTCCAATTTTTCATAAAAACCATGACAAAGCTCACAACCTCAGACAAGTCCGCCATTTGCAATCGCACGGAACGATTCTCGCACATGCGCAGACAAAATGCACCTATGTTATGCACAATTTATATTTCCTTTTAAATATTCCACGTTGTGTCTTATTGTGTATCATCATTTATATCATACATATATCTCATATTATACTGTATGTTAGCTGTAATAAACAGTTAAAAGCTTGAAAATACCTTATAATAAGATAATTAATTTAATGAAACAACTTATAAAATATATTTGGTTCCAGTGTTCATATAAACCTTTACAATTTTGTTGTTGATTTCAAGTTCAAATATTATAAAATATGTCATGAACGGAAATAGTGTCTTGATCACTTGCATATATTTGGCCCAAGCTGCAATACTTGAAAGGAAGTGCAGCAGATATTTTAATTCGGTTCCACATATAAACTATAAGAAATAAAATAACAAGTATTTTAGTTCAACTACTTCTATAGTCATCATAAAACCATAGTACAAGTATAATCTGCAACCATAATATTCACAGCCGCAGGATAGTATTGTTCGATTCGAATACAGTAAAAGCACAGATAGCCTTTCTACACAGTCTTAAACCAATGCATTCCTAATTTCACAAAACCTGTTCATCCCAGTACACACACAAGAGTGACAAGATGACGAGCAAAAAATTGTGCAATAGAAATAACCAAAATACACATAGCCTAGACACTGGATTTTAATACCTGAATTTATAATTTGTATTTATTGTTAAATCATTTAACTAAAACCACAACTTACCGAAACTTTGAATTATTGTCAGTATCTAATATTGTAGTGTTCTCTCCGGGACACAAATTTTAATGTTTACAGTTTTATACTCGCGGTTTCCTCGTGGTGAATGAACCTGTGCACGTTCGATATTCACATACAAGGCCTGGGGCGAGTATGTTGGGTTTTGTTGGGCCAACAGAAAATCCCAACGATTCCTAAAACGCGACTCATATGAACCCCAATGACTCTAAACCCTTGCATAATGAATTAAGTTGATCTTTTCTACGCCTTACTAACTCATTGTAAATTAACTCATGAACCAAACACCCTTTATTTTCAAGATTAATGACCTCGGTACACGACCACTCAGAAGAATTAATAACTTCCCAGAAAGAAGCTGATTTTGGATGAGTTTCCAAGATATAATGCAACTTCTCTCGACTTTCAGCCTCATCCAACTCCTCAATCAAATCTCACTGAGTGGATGTCATTTCACTTAAAGTAACAAATTCTTCGGAAATTGGCAAAGTGGAAGGTTCCTCACCAAGAATGTGGTTAACCACCCATTTTGCACGCAAAGGGAAACCTGGACCACCTTGCAAGACAGAATGAACTATCAATTCCCCCAACAACCTCAAATTGAATAGATTTACTCCCTATACCCTTTGTGGAATCAAAGCTGTACCTCCTTCAAACAATCTTTTCACAACCTCCTCAAAACACAATGAAAAAACTCATTGTGTAGAGCACCCACATCAATACCCAACTCTCCAGATCCAATAAATTTCACACAAAGATTTTTCTTCAGCCTATCAGGATGCTTTAGAGCCAACTTATATAATGCCAAAGACATGCACCAAAGATCCTCCCTCTTTACATCTAGCCAGAAATCATCATTAGAATCAATAGCAGAAAAATTCTGCAGGATATCATGTGGTGATTCCTTTTGACTTGAAATACAGATGAGGTCCTGATCTGAATCTAATGAAGACGATGGAAAAACAGGTTGAAAGATACAACTTCTGGCCCCTTCAACACCTGTTGATGAATATGAAGAAGTTGATGGGCCACGTCGATTACCAGTTTCATCAACAGCTACTGCGGAAGATCAAAAACCTTCTTATCTGACCAATTTTTATCAATTCTAGTTTCACAGAGCACAAACCCGTGCTCCATACATAAGATTAGCTTTCTCTGGGGCACGTACAATCATATCCGTCTTTGAATCGGGCAATAATAGTTATTCTTTTGATCTAAATATTTCTTCTCTCCTTTGAGGTAGATTGTTATTATCAGATGCTCTTGCGTATGGGACACTTGCTGCCCGTCTTCAAGCTCTTGCCCCTTGGCGATGGCTAATACCATGTTGAAAAGTGGGAGCTCTGCCACGCGAAGATCATTGTCTAAATAATGCTGAAAATTCCTCACTTGGAGTAGTGTATCTGCTACTTGTAGAAGCATTGGAATTTATCGAGGAGTTGAGATTTCTGTTTGAGTTAATACTTGAATTGGATTGATGAACAGGCATAAAGTGAACAGATGAATTGTGCCTTGTAGTTGTAGGCCGAGACAATTGATTAGATGATAACGAAGTGTCACTGGCGGCTGTTATTGTGGGAGACTGATTCAAAATGTTACTGAGAGTTTGATGAAATGTTGGATGAGTGATTATATTATCCACAACCTCTCTAATTCTATCATCGTTGTTTTCACCCACGATTGCATGTGATTGCATGCACTGATGCACATCAAACGATGAACTTGGAGTCTTTGTTTATGTAAACCTTGGGAAAAGCATTGAGCCCCTAATCGAAGGACATTTTATACTTGGTGTAAGTACAATTATTGTCTGACCGCACAGTGAGCTTTACTTGTTCCCAGGGTAGACCTTATAAATTAGAATTATAAACAGACCATATATATGATGAAAACAGACCATATAACTAGGCGTAACCACAGGTTAAAAAGTGCGACCTGGAGACTTTAGTCACTAATGACAACGCGCCGGCTCACGTTGTTTTGGCCAGATAGTTGGTGATCGTCCTTTACTTTTGCCAAAAGTCGGTCGGTTGGTCGGGTTTTTTTTATTTTTTATATAACGATTTGCGTCAAATAAACATGCACATGACAAGGTACTTTATTTCATATTGTCTATTGATATATTCAAAATAAAAAACAGTAACAACTTTTCAAGTTTATGCAAAGGAGTGGCGATAATATATGGGCCAATATTGTTCATTATATAATAAAAGTCGGCCCATTTACACTGAATATCCAATTTAGATAAATTTATCAAAATATTAACTTCACTAATTGGTACCCAATTACGTCACTTGCTACAAATTACATAGACTTGCCACAAGTCGACCTTGAACAAAACGTGAGCGCAAGCGACTTCGTCGCTCGCACGAGGTCGACTTGTCTTACTTGCAGGGTTTTCAATTGCATTTCGCACTAAAAAATGTGAATAAGTTATTGGCTATCAATTAACAGGGGGCTGAGTTATCTAATCGCATCATTATCTAATCGCATGTGCGTCATATTTCATATTTGTCACTTCGCTTTGCGAAGCAGTCGTCCCCAATATAGGAACTAAATTGACCAAACTGCTAACTTGGTCTTTCATAAGCGAGACCAACAGAACAATGATGAGAACCAAAGACTTGTTATTTTCCAACAAGTACTCGAAAGCATGCAGACCTAACTCAAAGGTTATTAGCTTTTCCCATATCTTGTCTGCCGAAACGAACACATCTCTGCCAGATAAATAGGCTTCAATGTTCTGCCGTTGATACTCTTTCAACTCTAAATAGCCAGAAAACTGCTGTGCCTTTTCAATAGCGTTGTCCGCAGTAGCTAAAAATAGATTCTCTAAGTGAAGACCCCCCACGAGACTCAGACAAACAAACTAACATTTTGTATAGAATTGTACTAGCAGCGAACATAAATTGGTCTAAATTGACGTTTT